AGCAGCGTGGAGGTGGGACGGGAAGGGTGATCTCAGCCCTGCTGGGTGTGGGGCAGTGAGCGGGCAAGTGCGCAAACGCTTGGCCCGGCGCGGTGCGAGGGCCGTGGGGCTCAGAAGTGACGTGGGGCTGGAGGCTCGCCCTATGGCGCTGCCTGCACTGGAGGGGATTTCCAGTGCCTTCGCTTCCAAGCTTTCTTTGCCATTTGGTGTCGGGATCTCGTGGTGATGCCAAGACCACGCGGGATGTTCGAAAGCGTCAGGGTCGGATGCAGGCAGCTCTGGGCTGCCTGGTGCAGGAATGCTGCCTCTCCAACTTGCCCAAATGTTGTCCAAAGCCTTAGCACCGCTGGCTTTTAGGACAGAAAAATCCCACCTGCGCGTATCATATTTCCCCATGGATTGGGCGTTGCCATAGAGCTCGGAAATACCTAAAGTCTCGTCTCACCTGAAGTCAGGGGAATCCTGCCCAGAGTTTTATCCCGGGGATCCTACCCTGAGTTTTATCCCAAGGCTGGCCTGTAATCCAGCCCAGCGGAGCCGTGGCCCCGGGACACATGGTTGGTGCTCCTGCGTTGGAATTGCTGTCGCTAAAGTCAGCACTGCCTGTAACAGGTTTTATAAGAGGGTCAGCTTCTCTTCCAGTTCCTTCCCTATCAGAGTTTATTTAGACTTGCTTGATAAAGTCAAGCCTTACTAAACCCACCACCTCAAGGCACGCTCTTAACAGCCTTTTTTTTTTACTTTTTCTCCCCTCTTCTTTTTAATAAAAGGGGAGGGGGAACTGATCAGAACTGGTGGTGGCCCACGTGATAATCATACGATATTGTGGCTGCATTTCCTTCCTTCCCTCACCAATGCTTCTTGCATCATGCCTGGACCTGGGCCACAGGCTCCTGAGGAGGAATGCTGCTGAATGTGTTTGTGGGAGCTCAGATTCCATCTGCGGGAAGTCTGGGGGGGAAAACCCCCACGTTCGTAAGACCTGTGCCCTTGGAGCAGAGGCATGTCGGGTATCTGCCTGGCATCTTTTTTATCCCTGGTCCTTAACACTGTTGGTTAAGAGCCTCTCTTGCTACAGTCGAGGGCTGCGTACTAATGCTGCATAGATGTTCGCTGATGGTCAGGAGTTCAGCGAGGGGTCTGTCCGCTGCTGTAGGGTCCAACTCCTTCCTTGGGATCGCTTCAGGAGAAAAACAAATCAGAGGTGGAAGAAGGGAAAGTTCAAAGCTTGATGCTTCTCAAAGCTTGATGCTTCCCAGAGCTTTTTCTCCAGACCTGATCATCCAGAAGGAAGAGGCTTTTAGCTGATGAGGGTGTTGGGGATTCCTGTTCCTGGTAATTCCTCTGCCTTGAGGCAACGTTGCTTTCTTGGGATGTTTACTGTGGGTGAAAACTACTCTTGAATACCATTGCGTCTCGCCCACGGCTCCCAGCCTGGCTTCTCCCCGTGCTTTGCAAGACTGATAGGTTAGTCAGGGATGGCAGCCCTTGCCTGCCAAGGGCTCTGTGGTGGGGTGATGTACTGGAACTGCACTTGCTGGGGAAGGTGGTGTGGGCTGATAACCTTATCGTGCACTTGTGCAAACTGTGCTGAGTCGCTTTTTCATGAAAAGCAATGAAATCCTGCACCTAAGGGGCCTTTCCAAACAGCAGATAATGCTGTGTTGTTGCTCTGATCACCTTCACGGCCTACCAGAATTTGAATGGGGAAGAAAGACTTTTCTAATTCCCTTATGGGAACAGTGAGGCAGTGGGACAGGTTGCCTAGTCTCAGTCCTGAAGACTTTCAAGACCAGAGTGGGTAAAGCCCTGAGAGCTGCTTGTGCCTGGGAGGTAAAAGCAAGACTTCTCTCCTAAGCTGGATAGAAAAGCACCCCTTAAACTTGCAAACCCTCCCAGCTGTAGAAAGCAGCAGCGGGAGATGCAGAGCTAGAAGCTGTTGGAAGGATGTGGATTTGATCCCTCCAAGTCAGGGTCTGGAGATGGTCCCGTTTCATGGCCTGGCCCGTCTCCGTGGTGTGTGTGAGTCCGTTGCTGTTCGTGGTGTGTGTGAGTCCGCTGTTTTTTTGGGTGTGCGCCACCCTTTGCAGTCCCGTGATTCAATGCTCACACCCTTCCTTGTACAAGCGCAGGAAGTGTCCGGAGAGCTGGAGGTCCGGGGAGGAGGAGAAGGGGGGGATTGGCTCTGTAGATGGCCAGGCTGGCCCAGGAGATGGACGGAACAGCTTGCATCTCTATTGTTTCAGCCTTTCAAGGCAGCTTCTGACTCACAGAAGAAATATTTGCTTTAAGAGGCAGGTTTCGTGCCCAGTGTATGGGAAGGGAAGAGGAAAGTGCCTCTGCCAGACTGTCACTGCCGTGCAGCACATGGCGTGACCGGGCATCGTTGTTTCCTATAACCCAGGGTAGAGGGGCAGAGGCTGGAGGTAGGGGCAGATTTATATCCATTTATATCCATGGAGTAGCCGTGCCCTGTGCTGGTTGAGAGGCCAAGGGCATTGTCCCCGTTGGGGACATTGGGGTACCCAAAGGCCCCCCAAACCCTGATGGGGCGAGTGGTCATTCCTATTGAGCATCGTCCCCCCCACAGCCGGAGCAACCCAGCTGGTACAGAAAAAGCTGAGCCAGCAGAAAGGTGCGCGGTGAGTTGGCGGAAACGGGGCCGTTGGCTTCCCGATCCGCAGCAAGATAACGCGGAAACACCAGAGGATGTGCTGTCCCCTGGGAGCCTGGAGCAGCCCGGGTGTTTCTTGTGGGCACAGGAGCCACGTACCAGCCTTGACACGGGGCTGGTTTCCTCCCCACAAACGCCCTCCCTGTTCCTCTTCCCTACCCTTCCATTTTCTTCGGTGCTGTTTGTTCATGCGCTCAGAAATTGGGGAAGGAAAGGGGGCCTGATGTTATCCTAAGGAAGCATTAGCGAGCCTTTGCCTTGCTGATAACCTGGCGCATGGGAATCCCTCCGCAAACCTCCTCCTTGTGCTTTGCCAAGGAAATAACCACCCTGGTATGGGGGAAAGTGCTCTTCACCTGCATCAAGGGGAGGTTTGGCCGCTGGGTCCAGCGGCTCTGAGCTGTCCCAGCGCTCCTCTCCTGCTTCACCTGAGCACACTGGGCAGAGCAGCTCTCGCCCTTCTCTTTCTTCCCTTGCCCTGTGGACTTGGGGTGGTTTTTAACCTGGGTTTTTCTATATTTTTTTAACAGGAGGCTTCTTTGGAAACTGCTGCAGCAGCACTGAATAGGAGGGACAAGTTGGATGCCTTGGACCGAAGCAGGGGAGGGGAAGAGTTTTACCGAGACCCAGACAGCGGTCGCTATTGCAAGAAGTGCCCCGCAGGTAAGGTCGTCTCAAACATCGATCACACCATGTGTGGCCTCGCCGTGTTTCTGCCTGCAGAGCCCATGTGTCCTTGCTCCTCGCGAGGAGGCAGTGGGTGCTCCAGCTCTCCCCTGCTCCACTGTCCTGAGACCTAAGGACTCATTATGGGAACATTTTCCTTTTGATGGTTCCCTGTTCACCTCTTAACTTCACTGGCAGTGGAATCAACTCCCTCTCTGCAAAGACATCTCCGTCCTGTGCTGTATGTTCACAGATACACCCTTTGTTTCTCCTCCTCTTCCCCAACCACCCTTTCTTGCAGGCACTTACGTTGCAGGGCAGTGTGAAGAGCAAAATGGCTCCAGCAAGTGTTTGCCGTGTAAAGAAGATGAATACATCGAATACCCAAACAGCTTTACCAAGTGCCTTGGCTGCCGGACGTGTAGGGAAGGTAGGAGCTGGTGTGTAAGAGGGCGATGCGGGCTGATAGCAGTGGCTGGGTTCAGCTGACTGGTGACCTCTCAATTGAAGAGCACGGTCACCTGCAGCATCCCCAAAGAGTGGCTCAGGCTGCGGGGAGCAGGTTGGGTCCGGAATTGGTGCAGCAGCTTGTGCCAGACCTATGTCTCTGTTCAATGCAGCATCCCTTGTGCAAAGCTTGGACACGAGACCTCCAGCAAGGACCAGGAGGATGGGGCTCACGGCAGCGTTGTAGGCTGCTGGTGGAGCTTTGATGCAAGCATTGCTTTTCTCTTGGGCACGGTGAGGTGTGGGGCAGGAAAGGGTAAGGCTGAAACTCAACAGCAGAGAGTGACTTGGTCTTCCCCAGGCTTGCGGGTCAGCTCGCGTTGTTAGCCCCATTAACGAAGGAGGCGGGTGGAGGAGCGTGGTGCGGAGGGGCTGGGGTAGACCTGTCTCTCCTCTCGCCAGCAGATCAGGTGGAGCTGAGCCCCTGCCAAGCTGTCAGGGACACGCAGTGCGCCTGCAAGAACGGCACCTTCTGCTCCCCGGACCACCCCTGCGAGATGTGCCAGAAGTGCCGGCCCCAGTGAGCTGAGTGACATGGTGGGTCCCGCTGGGGTCCGTGCTGGGACCCCCAGCCGCTGAGCCTGCCCCGTCTCCCCCTTTCCCAGGTGTCCCAAGGACGAAGTGGAGCAGGCTCCCTGCACGCCGCACAGCGACCGCCAGTGCGGTCCTCCCACCGGCACCTTCTCCGGCTTATCTAGTAAGTGGGGGGCTGCTGGAGGAGGGGAGACGGGCTGGGGGATGGAGGTGTGAGCTGCTGCTGAGAAGACCAGGAGCAGCTCCCCACGCAACCTCTTTTATCCACTTTAGCCAACTTGATCGCAACCATCGTAGTGGTGGTATTTGTGGTCGTGTTTGTGCTCGCCTTACTCGTCTGCAAGTGCTGCTGCCGACGTTCCCCAGGTGAGCACCGGGTGCGGGGGAGCCCCAGAGCGCTCGCTCTGGCTGGGGGGGGTGTCTGCGTGGATGTGGGCTGGGTGGGAAGAGGGACCTGCCTGGGAGAAGAGGGATCACGACACGGTTTTCATCTTCCAGGGGACGGGAGAGACCTCAGCGGGAAGTCCTGCAGCGTAATGGTGAGTTGCCGGGATGGTAGAGGGGGTGGCAGCTCCGTTTGTGGGGTCCCCCGTGCCCTTCGCTCCCCACTTTGCCTGCAGCTCCTGGGAGGGCTGGAGGAGCAGGGGGACGAGTCTCGCCCCTGCAGGGATGTGGTAGACCCGAGCCAAGCAGAGGAGGGTCTCTGGTAGTGCCCTGCTGTATGTGGGGTGCTTGCAGCCCCCTCTCCAGTGCCATTAACCCTTCCCCGGCAGAGGTGCCGGCGCATCTGGGGACCCCGGGTTAAAGGGAGGGCTGCGTTATACCGGGGCCCCTTCAAGCTCAAGGTGAGCAAGCGAGCCGTGCCCTTGAAACCACGGCAGGGTGGGTGCCACCGCCGTAGACGGCATCCCTGAGGGGTCGGCGTGAGCTCTGCCCTCCCGGGACCGCTCAACTCGGCTGGTTTGTGCTTTTCTCCTACTGCAGGACTACCTGTGGCGGCAGCTGACGAGGGACCAGAGGGGGGGCCTGGGGACGCAGGACAATATCCGCAACGAGCGGTTCTCCAGGGATCAGCTGCTCCCCAGGGCTCCCGGTTTGGTGACTCCCAGTGCTCCGGGGCCAGAGGTACGTGAGCGTGCCCCTCTGCTCCGTCGTGCTCAGCCGAGGTCTGATGCTTTCCTCTGCCTACACCAAGCTGATCAGCCTGGGGGGTTTCCAGGGCTGGACTACGGTTTCTGCACAGAGACTGCAAGGGGTCTCTTGTTCTGGGTTCAGGACTGCAAAGTCTGCTCCTTGCAGTCAGCTGCCAGAGTCTTCTGCAGATTTAACACTGATACTGAGCAAACAGAGAGCTCTTCTCCCCCTGGCCAGGACCCATGAGGCAGCTCTCCCCTGCTCGTGGCCTGCTGTCATCCCAAATTAGGAAACCATGGGTGTCCTGGGGTGAGGTGGTGATCTCCTGCCCCAACAGCCCCCGGGGAGAGGGAGAGGGTCTCCAACCCCCCCGTTAAAGGGGCTTGGGGACAGCGTTGGTGCCAGGGCTTGGTAGGTGCTATAGGACGTTGTCTTTCCAGGTGGTGCCGCCGAGGAGCTCACATCCCAGTGTGAAACCCAGGAGGAATCTGGTTCCAGTGCAAGGAAAAGACCCTGTTATCCGTAAGTGTTGGGGCCCAAGAGATGTGCTGGGGGGTAGGGAGGGAGTGAGCCTGCAGGATGAGCTTTCTGGGCAAAATGCATTCTGACCCAGCAGTCTGTTCTCTACCCTGTTCTCTGAGCTCTTCCCTTCCCCCCTCTAGTTTTGAGACGCTCTTTTGACATCTTTGCCCGAGAAGTACCCTGCAAGGACTGGAAGAGATTTGGCCGAGCCCTTGAACTGCTGGAGAACGACATTGCCCTCGCAGAGATGAACGACAGGTATTCGCTGGAGCCCTTCTTCCAGATGCTCAACACGTGGCAGAACAGACAAGGGATGAACGCCTCTGTGAACATGCTGTTGGAGACCCTGCACCAGATCAATCTCGGAGGGATCGCAGAGGACATCTCCTCCAAGCTGGTCCAGCAGGGATCTTTCCAATACGAAGTGAGCTGAGGAGCAGGGCAGGCCCTGCCTCTCCCTACTTCAAGCTGAAGCCGTGAATACCTCTAAGAACACTTGAATTTTATCTTTTTATAGCCCTCCTGTGGCTCCTCTCTTTTTGAAGCCATTGTACAGTTCAGCTGAGCCCAGAGGATTTGATCCTCTCATGAAGTACAAACCTCGTGGTCCTCTCTGCTGAAGCTATGGGCTTGACATTGGTGCTTCCTTATGAAATCCAAGCCGGTGCCTTGATTTCACTGGGTCAATGCAAAGAGCCTAAAACTATTGCAAGCTGCCTCTGGGACTGTCTCGTTTGGAAGTGCTGGTACTATACGGACATCTTCAGGATCAGTGCAGAGAAGGGCCTTTGCAGGTTGCAGGCATCCCTGTGGTTTTTTAACTGGATCATCCTTTATTGGAGGGTTCCTGGCGTCATGCAATGGCTTCTGCTTGTAGAACATCTCTAAGCTGGCCAGCAAGCTTAATACTGTATGCTTGATGGGGAAGCATTAACTGGGTTCTCGGGGAACTTTCTCAAAGCTGTTGACTGAATTGTATTTTAGGTGATAGTAGTTCTGCTTGCTGTTAGGAATCAGTTTGAAACTGGACTTTGAGGGGAGGGTGGGAATGATTTACTTGCTCTGTGATCACTGGGGTTGCCTAAGAAAAGGGTCAGTGCGGGGAGCGAGTGAGCTCCTCCTCGGAGCAGGATGGCATACATGGGCAGCAAACCATCGGTGTGCCAGAAACCTCCTTCTCCATGACCTCGGTCAAGTCGGTTAGTTCCCATTCCCTTGGCCGTGGGGTGGCTTTGCTGTCCCTGCCTGTCCCCAACCAGTGAATACACTGAGGTCTGAGCCAGGCCGTGGGTACCCGCCGTCCATCCTCCAGCTGGATGGGTTGCTCCTCAAACACTTTGCCCCTTGCTCTGGCTCTCACACATAGCTCAGGGACAACTTGGCTGGAAAAACTACTGCATTACTTGAGCTGACTACATGTGCTGCCACCCTGGTACAGCCCAGCCCACCAGGACCCACCAGACTAGATAATCTGTACGATCCCTTCTAACCCAAACCAGTCTGTGATTCTGTGACCTTCCCCAGCGTGGTGGGAGAGTGCGAGGGGCATTGCCAGCCCCTCTCCGTGGCCAGGGCTGCCCTGTGCTGCAAAGCACCCGTCCCTCCCGCTGCCACCCCTTCTCCCCCCTCCTTACAACACTCAAAAAACACAAGCAGACAGTTTGTATTTATGTATTTATTTAGTAATTGTAAACATGTACATATATTAACTTAAAAGCTAATATAAAAATAGTGTTTTTTTACTATGCATGATTGTGTGTTTTTATACAGAGCTCTGGCCCAGCCAGTTTGCTATTTCCAGTTTTTACATGTCTCTTTATGAAGGAAGAATAAACTTTTAAAAAATCCTCCTGATTTCTCATCTTTTTTTAAAATTTTTTTTTTCCCTTGCTCTGCCACAACGCTGGCGATGGTCTGTTCTAGGTTTCAGTGGGCACCAAAGGAGCTGGACCAGATGCTCAGCAGCTGCTCCGCGTGGCACTGAGGACCCAGCCCGTGGCGTTAGTGCTCTGCCACACCGGCATCCTGCCAGGAACGGTCCCCACCAGCGATGCTTCTACCAGGAAAAGTCCCCAGCAGCCAACCTGGGCTCTGCCTTTACACCTACGCCATGAATCCCGTGCTCTTTTAAGTCGCCTGCAAAAGCAGGAGGCTGAAACCTCAGTCCCTTGGGTGTGCAGGGGCTGGGACCCCGGGGCCAAACGATGCTGCCTGACCCCTGTGACGGAGCTGCTGCTGCTGCTGGGGGGGGGCCGCGGTGCTCCCCGCTCCGGCTACACCCAGCCAGGGCTCTGTGTGTTGCAATAGCCGTGTTGCAAATCCATGCAGTGCTTAGTGAGAAAAGGGTTCTGCTCGCCCCAGAAAGCCCCCTTGAGCTGCCTGCCAGCCTTCGCACTGCAATTGGGTTTATCGAGAACGCAGGGCTGGGGCAAGTGCTAAAAGCAGGAGCTTTTGGTGACCTGCCAGGAGGCTTTGTGCCTGAGGTCCTGTCCCGGGCAGCCCCACGTGCCTCCCAAGCATGCAAACCTGGGCAGGGAGCTCCTGCAGAGCCAGGCACATGCAGGATTTAATGCCAGGACACAGGGGCTTGGGTCCTGACCTGGGGAAGGCAAACAGGGCTCAGAAGCAGTGGCGAGCACCCAGATTTGAAAGGGAAAGAAACTTCTCGTCCTACCTCCTCGCTGGTGCTGCAAAGTGTGAAAACACCGAGTGTAAGCTCACTGGAGCTGCAACCTTGCTCCTGCATCTGTGGCTGAGGATGAGCGTGCGAAATGAATGACTCCGAGGTGCTCTACCGAGGCCAGCCGGGAAGAGGAGCGATGCTGAGCAGGAGGGGACACCACCGGGAGCATCCCTGCCAGAGCATCCCTACGTGCTCGCTCCGGCAGCAGCCTCTGCCAGGGATAGGCTCAAAGGAGCTTTCCCGTTCCCAGCTGGGGAGGGCGAGCGGAGGTTTGGGTCCCTTCTGCTCACCCACCCTGCCTGGAAATCCTGCAAAGCCCCTGGGCCCATGCTGCCATCTCCTGCTGGTACCTGCTGTGTTTGTGCACCTACAAGGACACAGGTGGGACACGCAAAGTTAGTCGGATGGTAAAGCCACCTCTCGTTGTACAAGGCTTTTTGACGGCCGGATCCTGCAACGCTTCTCCACTGTCCCTGTCCATCCCGGGAGCGCTGGTGGAAGGGTGCTGGTGTCACCCCGAGCAGGGCACAAGGCTGCCCTGTGTCCAGCCGCTTCCTCCCAAACACACAGGGACCACGCTGGGCTTTTAAAATACCATTTATTACAATGGAGCCTTCCAGGCTAAAATCCCAAGCCAAGGGCCTGGGGTTGGTTTCTGGTGTGGCAGGTTGCAGGGGTGGGTGGGTGTGGGATTGTTGGTTTGTTGTTTTTTTTTGCTTTAAGTTTTTCTAAACTAAACCAAAAAGTTAAGAGGCAGGGAGGAGAGAGCTCCTGTCCCCTCCTGCTCCCCGAATTGGGACAGACCCCACTTGTGAGCAGAAGGAAGGATGCTGTAGTGCCTTGAAGCATTTGGGGACCGGGGTCCCCTGCACCCTGCCTGACCCTGCTGCAAGTCGAAGGGGGGTGGCAGGACCCCCCCAGCGGCTCCGGCCGCCCAGGGTGGCGAGATGCCATCAGACAAACCAACCATATCCCGCAGCCTGTGGTTACAAATTAAACTGGAAGCGGGATGGGATTCTTCTTCTTCCTCATGCTGCTGATGTTCAAAAAAAACCCCAAAACCAAACCCAACCAAAAAAACCCCAACCAAAACAAAATAAAACCACAACACAGCCCTCGTGCTCCTGTAAACATGAGTTTCTCCTGCTGCTCGGTCTCTGCCAGTCCTGCAGTGCGCTGCCAGCTGCGGCGCGGGGAGAGCAGGGCTCCAGGAGCGCCGGGGGCTGGCGCCCGACCCCGAGCCCCTCCGCAGGGACGGGCCCCTGCTACCACCACCTCCTCTGGGGCTTCGGCCGGTGGCGTCCGCTCCACGCCTGATGCTGGGGCAGATCACCCCGCTCTTCCTCCTCCTCCTCCTCCTCCCCGTCGCCTCCCAGGGATGCTGGAGCCAGGGCAAGGACGGGCTTTCAAACCACAGCTGAGGAGGAGGAGGAGGAGGAGGAAGAGGAGGCTGTGGCTGCCGACGATGAAGGAGAGGAGGAAGGGGAGGTGGAGGCGTTCCAGAAGAGCCATCGCCTCTTGGGCTGCCGTTTGAGGTGGAGGTAGTCTTCCTTCTCCCGCTCCTTCTTCGCCCGCTGGTAGTGATCCTCCTCCTTCAGGTACCACACCGGCGGCCAGCGGTGCTTCTCGAAGTACTCCTGGTTCTCTGCGGGGAGACGGGGGGGGTGAGGGCAGTGCCGGGACCACCAGGACCCCCATCATCCCACTCCGGCCCCCGCTCACCTCCTGACATGGCCTTCATATCCCGGGGGAACTTGCGGCAGACGTTGTTGTAGTTGGTGCAGATGTGATGGAGGCACCAGTCGGCAAGCTGGTAGGCGCAGTGGAACTGGAAGAGATGGAGCCCGCGTCAGAGCCACCATGGCACGGACCACTGGGGAAGCAGGAGGGATTCACCCTATTCCTCCCACGACATCCAAGACCAGACCCGGTTGTCCTCTCTGCCAGGACAACATAACCCCCCCGAGCTGCCAGACCCCTCTTGCATGGCACCACCTTGCTCCATCCCCATCCCTGCCAGCACGGGCTCCTGTCCTACCTGAGCCAGCTCCAAGAACACAAGCACGTCCCCGTCGATGTCCACCATCATCTGCGCCGCCTCCATCAGACCGGTGACGGTGTACTGCTCTGTGGGGGACACAAAGAGTTAACGGGGTGACAGCAGAAGCATCGCGCTGCCACCGAGCTTGGGGACGATGGGGGGGGACGACACGACACCGTCACCGCCTCGACTCACCGGTGAGAGCCACCAGGTGCGGCAGGCAGAGGCGGTTGGCGAGGATGATGAGCTTCATATCGTCAAGGTCGGGGCTGGAGCTGAACTGCCCCGTGTAGAGGTACTCCAGCACCGCCCGCATGCAGCTCTTGCTGGTGTAAGGAAGTGCCACCTGGGAGACACACACCGCTCGTCACCCCACGGCCGTCCCCGGCTGTCCCACCGTCCCGGGACAAATCCCGGGGTTCCTCCTCACCTCGTTGGTGGAGCTCTCCACAAAGGGGCCGCCGAACATCGCGGCCATCCAGTCGCAGCTGGAGATGAGCAGGGGCTTGTGGGCACTGATAGCACCGTCATCCAGCACGAAGGTGACATCTGGGGACAAGGAGAGGGATGCTACTGGGACTCGTCCCCATTACCCGGGGGCTCAGCCACCCCCTGCCACAAAATGTCTCGCACCGGGGACAGCGGAGGGAAGGGATAGAGCCTGGCATATCCTATAATTTGTCCTAAGCATGTCTTTTTTTTTTTTTTCCCCCCCAACGTCCCCCGCCAGCTCAGAGGAGCTCAGGGAAGGGCCGTGGCAGGGCTCTGGCTCTTCTGAGGGATTTTCCCAAGACTTACCATGACACATTTGAAGGCAAAGGGGAAAACCCCGGGAATCAAATGTCTTGCCCAAGCTTGAGTCCTTGGGAGAGCTGGGAACAATGCTGGGGATCTCCTGCCCCCCTCCCCCCCCAACTCTGCTCTCCACCCTGGACGACGGCTTCTCCCCGAGGTGCACCAGGGGCCAGCACACATCTGTCCCCTGACAGTGACAGCTTGACCACATCAAGGTCCATCGTCACAAAACAAATTCAGCCGGAGGGAGGCTGGGACAGTGACAACCCCCTGGGACGTCACCCTGCGGCACCGCAGCACAAGCCGGTGGCACGTGGTGCTTGGCGGAAAGCTGGGGAAGTCCTACCAAGGGCACATTGCTCCTCGTAAATCAGATGACCCTGTGAAAATCTGGGCCTGGGAGGGAAGGAAGTCGCCTTTGCTGCTCTCCCGTAAATAAACAGAGCTGTCAGACAGGCTGGGGAGCAGGAAACCCTGGGGAAGGGCCATTACACTCACACTTTCTGGGGAAAAAAGAAAAAAAAAAAAAAAGCGCTATAAAAATCCCAGAAACGCAAAGTGCGATCAAAAACCCCAGGGAAGACGAGTCAGCGCCTGCTGACCCGTGGCACGGCTGCTCTGCTCACGCATGGGGCAAAGCCAGGAGGTCTGAGCCCCCCATGCATCTGGCAGAGCCCCCGCCAAGGGAGAGCGGGGTGCTGCGGCTGGTCCTCCCCCTCGGCCCAGAGTCGTACCCGAGAAAGTCCCCTTGGCCAGGCATTCCTTCACCCGGTTGGTCCTCCGGACATGGAAGGCTTTGGTGATCTCCTGGTTCATGAACGCCTCGTTGTTGAGGATGTTGGCCACCATCATGCGGAGGTCGAAGACCTCCAGCAGCTCAGCGATGTGAGCAATGTGCATGAGGTCCCGCTCGTTCTCATCCAGCTCCCCTGTGTACAGGTACTTCAGCACGGCCCGGAAAGGACCTGGCTGGATGGAAGCATCCATCTTCACCACCACCATGAGCTTGGACTTGTAGGTCAGCGGGTCTTCTGCCATCTCCTCCTGGATGCTGGTGAAAGCCCGGCTCCAAGAGGAAAGGTCCCTTCCCCGCCGCAGCCCACGCTCCCCGTTCTCGTAGCGGTTGCCCCGCAGGATCCCATCACTGGTGGAGGCTCTAAGGCACGGTTTTCGTTGGCCGGATCCGGCCTCCTCGGTGCTCTCGCAGATGTCAAAGCTCGCGGCTCGGAGGAGGAAATCCCGCCCGTGGTGCCTCTCCTCTTGGTGCAGCATCCGCTCGGCAGCCGCGGTGACAGCCACCCCAAAGCCATGGCCCGCGGCGCTCTGCTGGTCCTCCTCGCTCAGGTCCATGAGGAACAGGTCGTAAAATTTGGAGGAGGAGGTGGAGAGGTAGATCTTGTGTGCGTAGATTTTGATCTTCTCTTGCAGCACCAGGATGACGTCTGCGCACAGGGGGTCCTCCAAGAGGTGGGCTGGGCGCTCCTCGTTGTTGGAAGGGGGGTCCGGGACGATGATGATGGGCGGAGGGGGCCTGGGGGGCAGGAAGGGGGCTTGGAGAAGAGGCCGCTGCACGTTGCGGAGGTGGGACTTCCAGAACTGCAGGTGACGGCGGGAGATGAGGGCGGCACGGATGGCATTGTCAAAGACGTCCTTGATGCCGAACTGAGCCACCACGCTCGTCTCGTAATAGGGGATCCCCAGCTCCTTGGCTACCTCCCTCCCCTTCTCCGGGGGAAGGATCTCGTTAGGTTTGATTGGCCTGAAAAAGAGGGGAGATAACGAAGAGACCTCTTCAGATGCATGATAAGGAGAAAGCATTGGGCAGACGCGGACGTCTCCGGGGCACAAGAGTCCCACCTGGCCAAGGGTCGCCGTGCCCGATTGACGGCCTCCAGGTCGGCATAGCGCAGGTCGAGCTGGCAGCCCACCAGGATGACGGGCGCGCGGGGACAGAAGTGCTTGATCTCTGGGTACCACATGGTCTTCACATGGTGCAGGGAGTTGGGGTTGGCGATGGAGAAGCACAAAACCACAACGTCGGACCTGCAAGGAGAGGAGGGTCAAGGTCCGGCTTGGCGACGGAGCCAAGCCCGCCGTGCTTTGGCATTGCCCTCCCTCCCTGCCCAGGGTAGCACGAGGCTCTGCCTCTCCCCTACCTGCCATAGGCAAAGCGCCTATCTTTGTGGTGGTCACCAAAAGTGTCCCAGAGCCGCAAGGACACACTAACATCGTCTACCACATCCCGGGAGCGCTCCAGCACCTGCGGGAACAGAAACACCATCCAGCTCCCGAGTCCTCGAGCCCTGCAAGAGCAGGGTTGTCCCCACCACGTGCAGGGTACGGAGGAGTAATTCACAATTCCGCTGCGGGAAGGATGCAACTCCATCTCCTCGGGGTTCCCACGTCATGCCCATGAACTGAGTCTCCCCCCCCACATCCCTGCCCTGCTCCCCGACTGCCCTCACCTCCTGGCAGACGCGGTACTGGTCGATGGCCCACACCGTGGGCACGTGGGTGGCGAGGAGCTGGTACTGGGTCAGCGTGGCATTGCAGGCGCGGGCACAGATGAGTCGGGTCTTGCCCACCGCGTTGTCCCCGACCACGACGCACTTGATAGTTTCTACGTTTGGCCTCTCATAATCCATGTCAGAATCCATTAATTGGGACCTGCAGGGGGAAGGAGGAGGGGGGCGGTCAGGGAATAAAGCCGGGACAAGCTAGGGGGGGGGGGCTGTCTCCAGACGGGACGGGATGCCGAGGGGGTCGAAGCAACAAGATGATGCCGATACTCACGTTCGGAGCTGCCAGCCCCTCGCAGCACGGGGGAAGCTCTGCAACGACCGGCAGCCGGGAGCCCCAGCGAAGGCAGGGAGCGAAGGCAGCTGCCCACCGCTCCCCGCCAGTCCCCTTTAAAATTTAATGTTCTCGTGGCAGCGTGCGTTCTCTGCCGCGCGTCAGACACATGCCCTGCGTTTGATTCGACCCTCCTCCCTCCCCGTCTCTCTGGCCCTGGCTCATGCTTGTTCATGTGAGATGAGGCTTTTTTTTTTTTTTTTTTTTTCCCCCCCCCCTTTCCCCTTTCTCCCTCACCAGCATTTTTGCAAACGAAGCTTCCAGATCCGCCCGACCGAGCGCACACCCGGGCACTGCCAGCCTCACCAGCTGCCAGTCTTGGGGGAGCACCAGGTCTATCCCTTGACACCAACCTGCCCCGGCTTTTCCCATCCCATTCCCAGAGGGGATATTTGCTTCCAGCTAAGAGCAGCAAAAGAGAAGAAAACTCGTTATATTTCCAGGAGGCTTTGGGAAGGCTCCCAGCATCGCTGGCCTCCCAGGACCAGGTATGACCCAAACCCTCCCGAGAGGGAGGTTGGTGCTACGGGTGCTGCGAAGCCCATGTGAAGCGCCCGTATCTGGCAAACGGGCGTCCCCAGGTGTAGCACCCTTTGTCCGTTCAGAACCCCAGAGTTTAAATCAGCCAGAATTAACTCATCACAGCATTAAGCAAGGGATTTATGAGATTTCCAGGGGGAAGAGCAGGGAGGAGACGGAGGGAAGGGGAGAAGGACAAAAAAAAAAAAAACCATCCCAATTGCTCTGAACTTCTCAAAGCTGCAGATCTCTCCCCACCCTTGTCACTCCCTCCTGGCACCGGCCTCCCGAGCTGCTATAATAAACCACCAGCGCAAAGGCTCAGTGAGCTAAAATACCCGGTAACGATGGCAACCAAGCCCTGCACGCGGGGACCACGGACGCAGTTCCCTAAACTAGCAGCCTGGCAAGGACTTTCCAATGTTAGCACCTCCTTCCCGTGCGCAAGCTCTCTGAGCACACCTGGCTACACCAGCCCGGAGGAGACGGCACGTGAGAGGGCTCAGCACCAAGCAGGACTGAGCCACAAGCCTTGTGGGCAAGCGTAGGCAAAGGCGGGTGGCACAAATCCAGGTCGCTTTAGGTGCCAGCGCTGAGACATCGGCTGGTCCCAAGGCAAAACTTCTCCGAGTAGTTGTCGCCGCATGCCACGTCCCCTCCATCCTTTGGGATGCGGGGAATGCTGTCCGCTGAGGGCATTGAAAACCAGGGACAGCAACCTCCTTGGGCTCTGCACAGCAAAAAGGAGTCAGAGCAGGTTGACTCCTTCCCCGTTAGCCCCTGGAAATGAATTTCCATCTCACACATCCCCATCCACCGCTGTTCCCAGTCTCTTGCTCCTCCCGGGAATCAGCTTTGCTCTGTAGGGCCAGGAGATCTCCAGGGGGGTGGTTAGTGCTCAGGGAGCTTTGTTGCGGTTATTTTTAGGGCCAGCCATGCTCTCAAGTCGGCCGAGCTCACTCAGACAGTGGGTCGAAGGCACACAGAGATGACAACTGCGGTTGGCAGTCTGGATGCTTGCCCCGCACCCAGCCAAGCACCGGGGACTTGGGAGCCCGCTTGGGAAGTCCGGTGCCCCGAGGGAATTAAAGGCTAAATCCTAATGGGATCAGCGTCTGCGATGAGGAAAGGAAGAGGGGGACAGCAGTGGGCACAAAATGCAGGCTCCAAATAAAGCAAAAGCATGCTGGGGAACTCCGGCAGCCCCATGGGGGTAGCTCACAGCCCCCCACCCATGAGACATCACCCCAGGAGGGGGCTGAGCCTCTTTGCAGGGACAATTTCAGCAGCACCATGCCACCGCCTCTGCAGCCCCCCTCCCCGCCTTCCCCACCATCACCTCTCTCCCCGGGGACGGTTCTGAAACCCACCAGAGAGCAAAAAATAACCAGAGATGTCAAGACATCAGAGTTCTGCCCCCCCCGCAACAAAAGCCCTTCTCTGGGGAGCAAGGCCGCTCCAGCCAGCAGCCCCCCCAGCCCCGCTCTCCCGCCGCAGTCCTGCACCCAAACTACGGGCATCCAATTCCCATCCCTCCCCTCCCGCAAGGAGAACCCCAAAATTGCTCCTTCCCGGCTGCCCAGCCTGCTGTTGCCAAGGCAACTGCACCATCACCCCGGGAGCCGTCGCCTAGCAACTCCCAGGCTAAAAATCCTTCATCCCGCACCTCGAGAGGGGAGGAGAACCCCCAAAACCCGGGGGGGTTGGAAACCACCCCAAAACGGCAGCAATGCACAAAAATAACGCGGCAATTCCCGTGACCCTCCTGGCAACTGGGGGCTGGGGGGGGGGGAAGATGGAGTCTGGGAGGTCCCACGGAGGCAGTTGGGGCTGTGCAGGCCGTGGGGAGGGGTAATGGGGGTTCGGGGGTGGTGGTGGTGTGGGAACTGGGCCCCAAGCGGGGCTGCAGCACGGCCGGGCCCGGTCACGGCATCGGCACTGGGGGATGCGGCTGGCCGGGGGCACTGGGAGCGGGTGCGGGACATTGCAAGGGGACCGGGGGTGCAAGGAGTAGTCGGATTGTGGGTGGGGGGCAATGCAAGGGGGTCGGGGAGCACCAGGACTGGGTGAGGGGCATTGCAAGGGGGCCAGGGATCCTTGGAGCAGCAGGATTGGGGGTGCAGGGCATTGCAAGGGGGCTGAGGAGCACCGGGAGTGGGTGCAGGGCATCGCAAGGGGGCTGGGGGTGCAAGGAGTAGCTGGATTGGGGGTGCGGGGCATTGCAATAGGGTCGGGGGTGCAAGGAGTAGCTGGATTGGGGGTGCGGGGCATTGCAAGGGGGCTGGGGAGCACTAGGACTGGGCGAGGGGCATTGCAATAGGGCCGGGGGTGCTCGGAGCAGCAGGATTGGGGCTGTGGGGCATTGCAAGGGGGCCGAGGAGCACCGGGAGCGGGTGCGGAGCTTTGCAAAGGGGCCAAGGGTGCTCGGAGCACCCAGATCGGGGGTGCGGGACGTCGCAAGGAGGCTGGGGAGGACCTAGGCCGGGGGTGCGGGGCATCGCAAAAAGGGCTGGGGGGTGCGGGCTGCACCGGGGCCGGGTGCGGGGCATTGCGCGGGGGCTCGGGGGTGCACCCAGGCCGGGGGTACGGGGCATTACGAGGCGGCGGTGGGTGCATCGCGAAGGGGCCGGGCCCTCGCCGTTCCCCGGGGCCGGAGCAGGATGCGCGGAGGCGGAGCGGGCGCGGCGGAGGATGGCGGGGAGGGGAGGGAGGGGGGGGATGGCGGTGGGTGGGTTATCCCCGGTCCTTACACCAACACAGACGAAGCGGCGGCTCCCAGGGGCCGGGACCGGGCTCGCCCCTCCGGACATGGCCACGGCGCAAGTTGCGCGGTTCGTCTCTACGTTCTTCGGTACCGCGCTACGCGGCTTAGGGCCTGGGGCGCGGGGGCCCATCCCGGTATCTCCCCCGCATCCGCGGCCCCGTTAAGGCTGCGTTGCGCGGAGCCCTGCGCGGAACGCTGCGCGGAGCCCTGCGCGGAACGCTGCGCGGAACGCTGCGCGGAGCGGCGCGCTGCAGTCCGGCCCGCCCCGCCTTTCATTCACAAAAAA